ATATATATATATAAAACATATGTAATTAATTAAAAGAATATAAAAACTGTTTTAGTTTAAAAATGGTTACAAAGTCATTATAGATAAAATCAAGGACAATAGAATATTTTTTCTAACTCTTATTATAATAATTACAAATTATTTTCTTACCTTGTGAGAAACCTGTACAAAAATATTCAACTGTAGGATGCGTCGAAGAATATAGATTCTAATCATATATACGACCTGTTAGCCAGAACAGATTTAGAAAATAGCATCTAAATAATTAAAAAAAATAAAATTAAAAACCGGCGTCCTTTGTGACGTCATACGTAGGAAAAATCTGCGTCATATCTGTGGATATCCGTGACGCACGTGCAAGAAACAGGGTGCTTCGAGCAAAAGTTGATAAGGGCGAAAGTGCGTATGTGTGCGCTCGGGGGTGATGCAGCTTGACGCGGCTCGATGCGGCGCGCAAGCGCGACGGTTGCAGAGCTTTCGAGCCACGCGATGGTAGCAGTTGGCCTTCTAAAACCGCGAAACACGTCCCGCGTTCTCTCGAAGGAAGAGTACCGCGAGGATAAGTCACGTTTTTTTCTTTCCCCGTTTATTGTGTACATTCGTGCGCGTTTAGAGAAAGAATTTGAAGACGTCCCCGATCGTCTATTGTGATCGTCCTTTCTCGCTTCTTGCGTTCGATTTCATTTGACACTGACATCCAACACACGTAACCAAATCACGGTAAATACCAACAACACCCTCATCGTCTGTGTCTCGAACGTCATGACATCGTGCATCATTTTATCGCGATCGAACGCTGGCGATCAGGAAAGACCCTGACCTTGAAAGTCCATGTGCAAACAGATTATAGGATAATTAACACGCGTTAACCAACGACAATGCGTTAATGGAGAACAACCGCGGTACCCGCCGGTTTTTCTTCACCGGAAAAATATATAACGATTAGTTCATAGTAATATACAAATGATATATAACGGTACGTACCGTCTCACGCACGATATGATTTTTATTTAATAGTTTCATTGTTACCGCTACTGTTTTTTCCTTGTTTTGAAAATGCTTTTCTTCCGTTCAAAAATCACATTGAACAAGATACTCTTGTTCCGTTACAAACATTAGAAGCATTTACATCTACATAATACTATGTATCGCTTGCTTAACTGAAAAAGCTTCCCATCCATTATATATTAACATATAGATATCGCTGCAGGGTTTTATATTAAATGAAAAAGTAGTTTTGAAAGTTTAAATTTCTTTTATTAATATTTAAGAAGAAACAGACCTGTTACGTGCGCATAATTATTATTCATTATCATTATATTTTGCTCTAATTTTTTTTAATTTATCCTCAAAAATCAAGCATTGTTTCAGATAAAATTCAGCCAAATATGGAAATATTCGTTAAATTGCCACAAAATCAATATTAATTTTAAAGTTCTATCACTTTTGTTGTTCTTTTAATACATTGTTTAAACTTTTTAGAAAAATATTTTACATATATTTTTAAGATAATGCATTATTCATTCGTGACGATACATGGTAGTACGCTCTGAAATACATGGCATGTAGGTACACAGCGGATGAAGTTGATCGCACCAATGTATACATAACAGACACTTTAAGCATTAATACTAGTGACTATACCTAGCTTATCAGCTTATTTTATTTTTAAAAGTTATTTAACTTTTTCTTATAACTCAAATAATTTTATTCAAATACTGTTTTAATTTTTAATGTCCAGAACGCATCATTACGTTGCTGCAGAAAATACCTTGTATCATTTTAATTGTTTAAGAAGAGACATTTGTGTGTGGTATATCGATACAATGGCAATAGCGAAAAATGATGGCAAATGAAATGTCGATTGATGAGACAGAATTATCGAAGATTGAAAATTTATCGAAAGAATATTCGCTATTATATCAGTCAAAAATTACATCAATTGTCATTTCTCATCAAAAACTAATTTCAGCAATGTAAAATTCTATATAAACGAAATATAATTATGAGACTGTTCTCATTTTCGTGGAAAAAAATGTATTTGCCAAAATTAGATTTATATTCTAATTAAAAAATTTTTAAATCAATAGCAATGCGACATCAAATCGTACATAATTACTGCATACATTCGCGCACTAATAAATCACACTGTATAATTCTCAAGTTAAATCATATATTTCTAATCACGTGAAAATATGTAAAAAAACGAGAATCATTTATGCATTTATGATGAAAGAAATAGAATATCAGGTAAATTTTTTAGAATGTTTTCTCTTATTTATCGCATTAATTCTTTGTAAATAAATGCAAACACAAAATTAAGGATATTCCGATTAAGTATTTGAAGGAATTAATCTTGTAATATCCGTAAAATTTAGAAAAAAAATATACTGATCATCCCGTATGTCGATTGTACACCAAATGTTTGGATCAATATATAATTTATCTTTGCTGCAACGTTATTAAAATAAATTTAAACATCATTACCTATCTTTTTAAACAAGCAAACATTTTTACTAAAAGATATAGATACTGAATCTTACAAATGCAAAATGAACGAATGCCTAGAGAGTTACAAATGATAATAGACCATTGACACCCACGGATTTCCGGCTTACATGATTATCATTTGACCAATCTTAGGCAATTTTGCAATTGGCTGCGACGGGATCACAAACGCGAATGTGATATCAAGCCTTATAATACAAATTTCTCCTTCCTCCTACTCTATAAAGTTAATTTATGTTATAATGTATGTTATTAATAGCGAATAAAAGAGGTAGCGAGGAAAAGAGAGAAATTGAAAATTAATATAGATACATTGAATAAATTATAACAGAATATTCATTACCCAACATTGTATATGTATACTTGTTTTTATTTTTTATATTCTTTATAAATTATTATGTGAGAGATTATATTATTTTTTGTTTTTACTATATATAATTTACTATATATAATTTACTATATAATTATATAGTTTCCATTAATTTTTCGATAACGAAATTATAAAACATACGTTTATTGTTACAATTACATTACGTTTTATTTAAGTGTATTTGAGATCACAAATTGATTGGAAATTAATGTGAAAACAATTTAAAATAATATTATTTTTATTATTTAGTGTAGGAATTTTTATATAAAATATTTATATATTGTATTATTCTCTCCATTTTCCCGTTCAATTTTTCGCTTCCCTGCTCTTGATATTCTCTCTTATTCTTTCGATCAGTTACGTAAGTTATCTCTACCCCCTCTTGATCCTTCTATCGCAATTCTGTAAGTTCCTAAGGAAACAGGGAAAGAGATCACGTAGATCTAACTCTCGTCGAGAAACATGATACAAGAATCACTTTCTTAAGAAATACATTCTTCATTACAAATATCTAGTTATAGAGGCCATTTAACATTGTATCCAACAAACTCTTATTTTGAATATATATTTCCATAGTATTTACTATATTTGTAGATAAATAAGAGAAACAGATTTTTTTTAATGTAGAGGAAAGATCCCTATTATGAGATACCGAATTCATTTTGGGTAAATGAAATAGAAATCTAGCAGAATTTAAAAAAATAATAAATCATTTTGAAAAGAATTTAATAAACTTTAAGATAACGTTACACAAAATTTAATTCAAATTCAATTTTTTTTAAATTAAAGAAATATAAAAAATGAGATGCCTCGAGAAATCGATAATAAAACGCAAAATATAGCAGTATTGCAATTAAAAAACTTTATTTAATGTTTCTAAAATAAATACAGTAGCGTGCGCGAAAAATCAGCATGCGATAGATTATACTCAGAACTTTTCAAGTTGGAAGCATCGCAGATATAGGCACTCGACATTCATTCCGGTTGTCTTTTTTATTATTGTACAATAACATTTATTCTTTAGTAATGATTTTCACTATAACATAAGAGCATGAGTTATTTTGTATTAGGAATATCTGGGTATCTCATATTATGATTTTCATGCCTTATGATTTTACGATCAGCAAATCTAACTTCTGTAATTAAACAATTCAACATATCCTGTATTTTTCTATTAGTACGATCTTACTCTATCACTACATGAGAAATTTATTGCCAAATATTTATTTATTAAATAATAAACAAGATTTAAATGTTTATCTCAATGAAACTTGAAGACATCCAAATTCTAAAATCTTGTTTTACAATAACTACAGGCATGATCTGAATAATGAATTTTCTACTAAATAATTTTCAATCCAAGAGCAATAAATTCATGGTGGCACCAATAGATAGTGTTTATTAATTTAGCAGAAACGCTATCTCATATTAGGCGCCTATCCTATAGGATAATAGGGGGCTTTCCTCTATAATACGTCTTCCATTTATTAATGAAATTTGAAATATTGTTAAAGTAGAAAAGATAAATCCTTAAATTTATGAGAACATTTTAAAATTATTTGCTTCTAATTTGTTATTTGTACAAACACTTTTTAAAAAGTATATTTAGTATTTTGAGACATTTCAAAGGAGCAGATATTTTTGATTTGCCGTTCCAGAAAAATATTTTCTTCATTAATGAATTGGCCGTTCTGGAAAACTAACTTTTTTTATAGTACTATGTACATATCGATCGCCATTGGTACTATTCATCCGTGACCAAGTTCAACGGCGGCCTTCTTCAACATAGAAGGGGGTTCTATATGTAAGATCGAGTATATGTATATTACACTGCTGAAACTAGGGAGGCCACGAGGAGGACGCGAGGGTGCGGGGTCAAAGATGATCGTGATAATCACTCAACGATAAACATCCATAAATAACCATAGTCGGTGAGCAGTTTATAGACAGTTAACGCTGAAAGAGAATGTCGAAGCGCGCTCTTTGAAACTGATTGTTCACGTACGGCGTGAGCGAGCCTAATACTAATAATTTTAGTTTGTTGTAATGATTTGATGTTATTAGTATGTCATATATTACTTTCATTTCCGACATAACGAAAGGCATATTTTAATAAATTTAACAAATTTAACAGTATTTTTCGAAAATTGACTTAATATTGATTAAAAATAGATAATTTCTTTCTATAAGTTTTTATTTATCTTTAAACTCAATATTCAGAGAACAGAAGCAATTTAAAAAAAAAATTTGAGACTCATATGCAAAATATGATGACACAGCGTGATGGCTTTAATATTACTCCAAAAAAAAAAAGTAGTACGTCAAAGGGAAGTTCATCGTGTCTCTGGTACACAAAAGAGTCGCCAATGATGATCAATAAAATAACCAAAGAAATATCACATAAAAGATCGCTTTAAATTAGATTATATTAATGTATCTTTAATCTCTTTATCATTAATTTGCAACTACGATTGCAGTCTGCAACGCAAGAGAATAAGACTATCTCTAACCACTGAATATAGCCACTATTAACCCGGGTCCTGTATATTAGGATATATGCAGATAAAACAGAATTTAAGCGCAAACATAACTAAACTACACTATTATTGGTTTAACTTTACTGAACTGCTTTGATCAAATAGCGATAAATATTTGCACGAATGAAAGCTTAATTTAAGCCTGTTCTCCTTTATTTGGACGCAAAAACATGAATCTTTTTCATATCCTATCACATCCTATTCAGCACTTTACAACTTTATTTCAAGTTTAAACAGTATGATGAAAAAGTGTTCTTAAAATGAAATTTATTATATTTAGACATTCAGAAAATATTAAGTTACTACTGCTTGGATCACAATGTTGATTTTATTACTTTTACATGTATTTTATTACTTAATTTTTACACATTATGTATGAATTTTATGTCTAAAAAATATTTTGTTGGTATCGTAATCTATATCATTTACGCACAAGTAACGGTCTGTTTCTGTAAAATCATTGTCATTTTTATACTTCCAATATCTTTCGAATAACTTAATCGAATTGTCAGAGTGCATACGTATGTGTATTAAAAGTTCTATAAAAGTTGCCAACTGTAAAGCATTTGAGTGAAAAAATTCAGATTGATTTTTACCTTTATATTAAAAATTTCTAATAATATCAGAAATTTTTATTAGAGTGCACAAGTAATTAGAATTAGATTTGGATTATAAAAAAAAAAAATTTATTTTGGAAGAAGGAAACAGAAAGAAGAAGAAGAATCTCTAAAAAAAAAAAAGCATTTGTTAAACAGATCGCGATCATTACAATGTAATATAAGCGAAATTGCCTAATTTGCCTTTTTTTGTTTCTTCATTGATAATCTATTTTAAAGAACAAATTTTTATGAGCTTATTTGCTTGTTTCAGATATTTAAAATAATGATTATCCTAATCGAATGAAAATGAATACTGCTGAAGAAATAGGAGAAATCTAAACTTTTGATTCTTGATTATGCCTATGTGATGATTGTGTTCTACACTTTACTTCATTACTTTAGGATCGCGGCTGAAAAGGACACATTGTGCCAAATGTTCTTTCATCAGATAGATACATGATAAATATATTGAGAAAGTTTAACCAAGCTTTATAAGATATAATCAAATCATACAATGACAACTTAGCAAATGTAAAATACAACAGCAATCTTATTAAGAACTGTAATGATTCGAAATATTTTAGCGAGACGAGATGAGAGGACAGACGAAAATGAGAGATCTCGCAAATGTATACGCAATGCCAATGCCCTGACGTTTAGTCGTCTAGGGAAAATTAAGAGGATCAAGATCCTTGGACAATCGCACATCAGGGTGATTATGGTCGAAAGACCGTCGTAGTAGTACGGCTGCGCACGGTAAAACATGAATGACAGCGAGATCTATCTATTGAACTGGGAAGAAGAGGTACACGCATTAAACAACGATCTTGATAGAAGCTTTTATAACGCGAACTATCCGTCGTTTAATCACACCTATGAAGATCTCTGGGAACTCGCTACGGATCGAATCGGTCTCGCGATCGTTTTATTGCTCTTCTCCGTAGCTACCGTTTTCGGCAACTCGTTAGTGATTCTCGCGGTATTCCGAGAGAGGCATCTGCATACAGCTACAAACTATTTTGTGACTTCATTGGCTTGTGCCGATTGCCTGGTAGGACTGGTAGTGATGCCAATTAGCGCCGTATATGAGGTATTGGAAAACCGTTGGCTGTTTACGACGGACTGGTGTGATGTTTGGCGTTCGCTTGATGTTCTATTCTCCACCGCGTCCATTCTAAACCTGTGCGTTATTAGTCTAGATCGCTACTGGGCGATTACCGATCCCTTTACGTATCCGACTCGAATGAGTAGGAAACGCGCCGCGATCCTAATCGCTATCGTATGGATTTGTTCGAGTGCAATCTCTTTTCCTGCGATAGCGTGGTGGCGTGCCGTTCGTACTGAGCAAGTGCCCGAAGACAAGTGTCCCTTCACGGAGAATCTCGGTTACCTGATATTCTCATCGACAATCAGTTTTTACCTACCGCTATTCGTGATGGTATTCACGTATTACAGAATCTATCGCGCCGCCGTGATACAGACGAGGAGTCTAAAACTCGGTACAAAGCAGGTAATGATGGCCTCGGGCGAGCTCGAACTCACGTTGAGGATACATCGAGGCGGTACAACTACTAACACCGACGCTAGGCATCTTTTTCGCACCGCCTCGAGCACACCCGAAGATCTGCAAGATCTCGAGGAACCATTAACAGCTCTTCACAACAATGGTCTCACTAGAGTGCCCTCCGCGAGAATCAACAATAAACAACACCTAGGAAAAAATTTCTCTCTCTCGCGTAAACTCGCCAAGTTCGCCAAGGAGAAAAAGGCGGCAAAGACCCTTGGTATCGTTATGGGTGTATTTATTATTTGCTGGCTACCGTTCTTCGTTGTGAATCTATGGTCGGGATTCTGCACGAGATGCATATGGCAAGAAGAAATCGTATCTGCAGCCGTCACTTGGCTCGGCTGGATTAACAGCGGAATGAACCCCGTGATATACGCTTGCTGGAGCAGAGATTTTCGTAGGTGAGTTTTTGTGCATTGTTAATTATTTTTTTCAAAATCAGAATTGTCGAATTAAAATGATTCTTTTTGCATACTCTGTTCCATTTTTGTTTTTCATATCAACGCAATTATTGACATATCATATATAATAATTCATTATATCTTTTTCATTACTTATATCAAGTATGTTGTACATGACCGACATCATTATATCAGAGTTCTGCATACGTCGAAAATCTTCTGCTACAAATGAACAAATTTGTACCTACGATACCAAGCAAGTATATCCATCTCTCTTTAATAGTAGGTGCTGCAGCTAATGTGATAAACCAGATAGCATACATACATCATCAGGTTTACCATTATCTTCGTTCGTTCCGCGTCTACGTTCATACTGTACATAACAAATATAATGTGCAATAGTACTACAATATTAACGTGCTTACATGTCACTATCACGCACCGATTTATGAGCGCGGGATGTAGTTTACAATCAATCACCACGTTCTGACATTCCTCGACATCACCAAATTGTCACCGTTATCCTAATATAGATATCTGTTCTATTCTCTACGAGTCGTACCAACCAATCACATAGGATATGCTATCAAGCGAACCATCAACTATGTAGAGGGTAATTTTTTTCAAGGAGAGGAAGAAAACCCGTAAAAGGGTACTCGTGAGATTCTAGATCGATTTTAAGTCAACCCTGCGGAGCTATCTCCATTTAAAACATATATATAGTCAGGGTATATACAAGGTGTAGGACGTATATACGGTAGGGATTTTCCATGAAGACAGGAAAAGAGAATTTGGCTAGCGGGATTGTGGGTGGATTAGACGGAGACCCTTTAGCAAATTACTTTTATTCGTCCGCGCGAAATAAACCTGAAGTTTCAGAAACGGTCCGGTATTTTCTTCTCTCCCCTTTACGAGCGCTACCAAGCGCTACTCGTGAAAAGCATTTATCATCTTAAATATCTTCTCGACTTAATAATAGCTATGGCAATTGAGAATTTTCTTTATAGATTTCTTTGCACCAAGTTTTGTGATATATTACACATAAACTTTTCTTGAAATAACTCGATATATACATATATTTACAACACAAAACAAAAAAGTAAGAAATAACAAAACGATGAAACTTTCTATTAATCTTATTCAACTTTTATTCTATTTACAGCAATATTAACGTGTTTATAAAATATTAATATGTGATATAATAAATTAAAAGAAAACAAATTTGAAGTAAAAGAATTTGATAAATTAATGACAAAGTAGAAACTACAAAAAGAGAAGCTATCATTGCAGCACATACAATATTATCGAAAGAAATAAATATATATATATATATATATAAAACATTTGACAATGTAAATACATTCTTTATATTTTTGGAATAAGAAATTTTGGGAATGAGAAACCTATGCTTAGGAAAACAGGATTTCCGCAAGCAATAGATTAACGCACTAATCTATCGCACTACGTGGACATGTTCGCATGTTAAATCGTGAATCGCGTGCGAAGCAAATTACACTACTCGATGAGGGCGATGTAACACTGACGTTGAATAGATTTGATACGGTTTGGCTGACGCCAAACGACGTTGTGTACAGCAATCCCACGTGTAACTATCACGCTTCACGGATATTTACTCCATGCATACAGGTAAATGTAAAATCAATAGACCGCGTGCTTTCTTTATGGTATACAAGGCTGTGAGGACCTATCTTCTAGGTCGTAAAATGGATAGTTCGATCGTTCCAAACAAGCGGATATTAATAAAAGAAACAATTGCGACTTTGTACGTGAAAAGAAGTCGACCATTTTAAAGGACAATGAGCTCAACAAGACAAAACGAAGATGATTCACTGATTTATTTATTGCTTATAGAAAAGTAGTCATTTTATCGACTAACAAAAGAATCCAGGGCAACCTATTGCATTGATCCATATCCTACGTTTCCTGAAACACCTCCGCATTAAGTTAATTATAATCACGTCAGCGTTTAGATAAAGTCTAATCCTTTCTCCAATATCTTTAATACACAATATGTAATATACAATATGTAAAATTCCAAGTATAGGCAACGCACGATTATAGTGAATCTTCATTAAAGGATGAACTAGTTATGATAATTAACGATTAATTTTGCCGAAATAATCAAGCAAATGCCTATTAATCGACAATAATATCGCATCTAATAACGAATTAGAGGAAAAAAATTTCTATTATCAGATAGTTTCTGCTAAACTAATAAAAGCTATCTATTGATTCCACCATGAATTTATTGCTCTTGGATTAAGAACTATTTAATAGAAAATTCATTATTAGATCATGCCTGCAATCATTGTAAAACAAGATTTTAGAATTTGGATGTCTTCAAGTTTCAGTGAGATGAGCATTTAATCTTATTTATTTTATTTTATTTATTGCCAAATATTTATTTATTAAATAATAATTTGGCAATAAATTCTTCATGTAGTGATAGAGGTCGTAGAGTAAGGTCGTACTAACAGAAAAATACGGGATATGTAGAATTGTAAAATACAGAAGTTAAATTTGATGATCGTTAAACTATAAGGTGTGGAAATCGTAATATAAGATACTCGGAGTATTCCTAATATAAAATAATGCTTCTATGTTATAGTGAAAATCGCTAAAGTATAAATGTTATTATACAATAATAAAAAAAAACCAGAATGAACACCGAGTATTTATATCAGCGAAGCCTGATTCTAACTACTTGAAAACGAGTTCTGGGTAAATCTATCGCATGCTCATTTTTGGCGCACGCTGGCTGGGTGTTTGTTTGTATTTTAGAATTTTTAATAAAAGTTTTTTTAATTGCAATACTGATATATTTTGCATTTTATTATCGATTTCTCGGAGCATTTCATATTAGGAATATAATTTTTTGACTTTGCGATTTGCTCACTTTTTACATTTCTTTAATTTAAAAAAAAAGTGGAATTTGAATTAAATTTTATGTAACGTTATCTTAAAGTTTATTAAATTCTCTTCAAAATAACTTATTATTTTTTTTTAATTCTTCCTATATATTTTTAACATTTACCCAAAATGAACTCGGTATCTATAATAGGGGCCTTTCCTCTACATCTCAATAGCTATAAACTCATAACTTTGATTACATTATTACACCAACTCTAATCCATTACTATTGATTGCACAACCGATAAAACGATATGAACGATATGAAAGTTTGAATTGACTAAATTTTTAACTTACTGTGTAATTTACTGCGACTTATTCTTTATCTTGTAGAGGACAATACATTTGCGAGAGTTTCTCATTAAATTAACGAGAAGACCTTTCGAGTATGATGTAATTAAAAGTTTCTACAAGTATACAGAGAGAATGTGAATGTAGGTACACGTTCCATTCCGCTTCAGCTAAAATAGATGCGGATTCTTTCGAGACTTTCCATGATGAAACAAATTATAAAAAATAAAAAAATAAAATTAAGAGATTTTGTACACTGAGATTCAAAATACACACAAAAGTTAATTCAAAGTATTTAAATTATTTAAGAATTTTAAAATCATAGCGTCATTCAAAAAGATTAAAAATGTACAAATTGGTCGTACTCAAACAAAAGCAATATTACTAGCGGAAGAGTAATCTGCCTCTCCGAGTTCGTAAAATCTCAAATTCTACATTTTCAAACTTTTACTTCATATCATATATCGCATGGATTATTTTATCTCTCTGTCAATGCTACTTTGTCTACATTTCTATAAGCTAACATTAAAAAAAAGTCTATTGCGTTCCAACAAATAATCTGTGATAAAACATGAAAATGATGCATAAAGACAAGGTTATTACTCTATCATTTTTATCTCACTGTATAAAGCTGTATTTTTCTTATGATATGTTTTGTGTGTGTGTGTGTGTGTGTGTGTGTGTGTGTATGTGTGTGTTTATATGTAAGATATGAGAAATAGACATTTAATAAATTTTAATAAAAAATATGGTAATATATACATATATTACTATTGGATTGTCCGGAAAGTCCGATTTTGAAGGAAAATTGAAATGCAGAAGATTTAAATTTTAGTATACATTTATTAAATTATATAAGTTGGTCGGCACGAACTTTCCGGACAACCCAATATAATAAATTCACATTATGTATTACGTTATACGTGATCAAGATCGAGCAAACAAAAATGAATTGCAATGTGCAATACTGAGGTTGAAGAAAAGTTTAATAAAACTGTCGACACCTTAAAAAAATAATACATATTGATATAAAAAAAGATACAAATCAGAGTTTGTCTAGGTTTAAAAGAAAGAAAAAAAGAAAAGGAAGAAGCAATATTAACAATATTCTATTAAGTCTAATACTAGTGCAAAACCAGGTCACCAATCTCATAAAGACATTTCTAATTCAAGAATAACCGATTTCGTTATTGTTTCGTAAATTAGCATCATCCATATTTCGTTTTTCAAATTTTAAATAATACATGTTTTATCTTTTCTATTTGATATAGCTAGCATAAATTTATGTACAAGCGCATTACATCTTACTATATGTATTGTATTACATCATAAGATATAACAGCTTGATTTTTAGATAACAATAAAATTGAAAATAATTTCATTTCGCTGCAATTTAATTACGTTGATATTACATTTTGTATTCTAATTGATCAGAAAGAAAGTAGTTGCGCGGTGTTTCTTTTCAAGAACATGGAAGTTTAATGAGAAATATACTTATCTAATTGGCAAATAATTAATTCAATAATTTGTGATAAATATGATGCAATTTATTTATAATAAATAAAAGAAAGGAAAGAAAGCACAATTCGAGTTTCATTTAAAATGTCTGAAATATTGAAAAAATTACGTTAGCAATTATTTTCTCTCGCAATTTTAAAAATAAAATTTATTATTTTTGAGATTCTTCAGATTATAAAAATTTTTATTTGTATTTTATTTTATCAAATTTTATATTAAAAATATAATAACTATAGTTATAGCGCGATAAAAATCTACGT